TTCCCATTTCCCATGTTGTTTTCTTAGTTGACCTAATCTTCATATGTTTCTTGATATCAGAGTAACAACTGCTTGTTAAAAGTATCTGTGTGGTTAGCCGACAATCCTAATTCTATATGCCCTTCTAAGTCTACAGAAGTACGCATGGAAGACTGTAATAATGACTTACGTGTCAGTAAAAGGCTTTCTAGCTTAGCCAGTTGAGCTCACATGTTATTGCATAGAGGGCATGAGAAGCAGAGCAGGCTAGGGCTGGTGAGAACAGTTTTCCACTCACTTTGATCCTTTTTTGGAAATTACTTTCCATTGTCTGAGACTATCTAACATTGATCTTTTCTTTTCAAAAGAATTTCATCAGCACCTTTGTTACAATTTCATGAAGTAATTTAACTTCTTTTGAGATGGATGATAGGTTTTCCGTGTCTTCTGAGGGCCATGACAAAGATGCTAGTTTTTATTTATGTATCTTTTCAAAGCATTAAAGAACTCAGATAACATTGAAAACTTGTCATCTGTTCACTAAGCCAACCAGATAAATTAGCCAATTTTCAGAACTTAAAAAATGTCAGCTGATGTTTTAAAAATATTTAAGAATATTTGTGATTTTTTTTTTCTCATTCCTTTCTACAAGACTTTCACAGGAATTTTGATGATGAACAGATTTGATGAACACATTTTAGTTACAAGTGAGCCTACGTATTTTTGGATGTACCAAAAGGGATGGAAATGGCATTAGAAAGTAATAATAAGGCAGCTGAGAAATTGGGAAGCCAATATTTTAATTTAATTCTATTATTTACAGAGCTAAATGAAACTGGAAAAAGAAAGCAGTTGACTGTCATGCCCAGGAAAACATGTGGTGCCAGTCTGGGGATATTCTCATGAGTGTTATTAAAGAAAGATTATATGACTGTGAATTGAAGCTTTTGGCTCAATACTGATTGTCTTTACTTAACCCGGGTCATAATTATATCTTCAAAATATTCTAGGTGTTGGAAACACTATCAGTTGCCCAACTAAACAACAGATTCCTTAGGGACACATTTGTCTGGTGGAATTCACATCATAATTTTTCATTTTTAAGAAATGTTTTTTAATTGATTTAAGATACCAATACCATGTACCAAAGGCTACTAGTGCATTAATTTGAAGACCAATTCATGAAAAAAAAAAAAAAGCCAGGAATATGTATGTGCATGCTAAATTCCTAGAAGTTTTTCATGAGGTCAATAACTTAGATTTGTTTTTATAGAATACTATTGAGTAAACTGTAAATATAATTTATGGTTCATATTCACACTATCAGGTGTTGGGTCAGTCACATACTGTCAAATCTAAAAAATAATCTTGGGAAGGTGACTCAGCTGACAGCACATGGAGTATAGTCTATTTATCGAAAAATGGTGATAGGGTCAAAAGGACACAGACTTGGAATTAGGTTTGGTTGTCACTTTTACTAGCATGTGACGACACATGAGTGTCTTAACCTCTTGACATCTTTGTCCTCATCTCCAAAATGAGGAGTTTAGATTTAGACAAATTTTTAGGTATTTTCCAACTCTTAATAAGCCTCATTCTTTATACTCCATCTAGACAGACTAGAGACAGGTCAAGATGACATCACTGTCTCTTCCCTTGCTCAACTGAATTACCCTGTACTTGGCTGGCCATTTTCTTACTCGTCTTGAAATACAGGATTAGGAAATCCTCTCTGGTGTTCTGGAATTGCTGGACCCTATTAAGGGAAGCAAAGCAATGGGTTTTCTCCTAGTCATTTATGGTTTTCCCTCCACTAATACTATAAACATCATCATTTTGTTTTTGTGCCTTAGGCTTGGAAGACTGGAAAGTGAAAAAATTGCTCCCAAGATACCAGCAAAGTTTCTTTTTTCCTGGCCATTTTCAAGTAGTGGAACTGGTAGGAAAGACAAAGGAACTGACAAGCTGATCTCTGGGGGACATGTATATATGGATTGTTCTTTGTACAGTATCCAAGCCTTTACTGGACAGACCCTGCCCCCAGGGATTGAGGATTAGGGCAAACACTTGCCTTTGAAAATAGGGACATTATTCTTTTCCAAGTGAGCACTTTTTCTTTCCTAATCTTCATGCTTGCTTAACTAGTCCAAAACTGTGTTCACAGTAATTATTTGTTTTTTCCCCTTATCTCTTTGGTTGTGTGCTCTTTTTTTTTTTTTTGATGCATGTTTGTTTTATTATTTTTTATATTTTATTGCTTTTGAAATAGAAATACCACAATTTCTTTTAGACTCTGGTATTCTTTCTTTCTAAAGAATTATGTAGTCTGTAGAGGAAGGGAAAAGGGGAGACAAGAAAGGAGAGGGGAGGACAAGAAAGGAGAGGACAAGAAAAGGGAGGACAAGAAGGGAGGACAAGAAAGGAGAGGGGAGCCACTTTTCTTCCTTCCCAGGTCATCTTCTTGTTTTGAAGATTTATATCATAAATCACATAGGTGGAGGACATGGAAAAGAGATACCTCTCAAACACAATAGAGAAAATATTTTTGTCCAGAGAGACATTATGTCAGAGGAGACTCGAGTGTAAACCACAGGTTCCTGCCTTCTAATGCCTTGGCTCTGCTTCCAGGCATGTTTACATTGGGACTAGGTTCTCGAAAGTTGTATGAGACTGTCAATCCCAAGAGCCTAACACAGTTGCTGAGCATCTATTTCCTGTCCATTGCTTCATTTCAAGTACTTATTTGTCTCAAAACAAACAAAAAAAGGAAACAAAACCCCAACAGTAAATTTAATAAAATAATTCTCAGTTTTAAGATTACATGATAAGGATACCTAGCCCAAGGTGATGCAGAAAGATGTAGGAAAGAGTTAGAGGGAGGTGTCTTTTGTATCTTGAGGTCTCTCCTTGGCACTATTAACATTTTGTGCTGAATAATTCTTTGATAGGGGTGAGAATGCTCTGCACATCATAGGATGTTTAGAAATATGCTTTGCTTTTACCTGCTGGACATTAATACTCTCCCTTCACTCCCCTTCACAGTTGTGACAACCAAAATAGGTCTCCAGACATTGCCAAATGTCCAGTAAGGAACACAATCTTCTTTGGTTGAGACTGCCACCCTATTTTGAATAAAGCTTGGTTTTATACTAGTCTATCACTTTTGACAGAATGGTCCTTGCTCATTGGAAGCAAGTTGATGTATATAAAGTCAATTTGACAAAAGCCAATTTCACCAACTACTCATTTGCTAAAAATCAAATGCCAAATAAGTAACCAAATTTAGAAGAATACATGTATTCCTAAGAAATTTATACTCAAATTATTTGAATATACTTAAAAATAATATCCTCAAAAATGTTTTTTGGCAAATCAACTAAGACAGTTAACATAGCAAATTGTTTTGGTTTTCAGAGAAGCAATGTCAGGAAACTGACTTAGACTCTTACCAACTTTGTTACTAAGGTAGCCAAAGTGGTATCTGTCTTTGGAAAGGGCTCTAGTGGCTATAAAGGTAACTCAGTAAACATGTTAAGGAGATGCTTGACAAGAATCAAACAATAGGTATTTTTATTATTTTTTTTTTTGGTAGCATAGAAAATCAACCATATCTTACCTTGAGTTCATGTGTTATACATAAAATTCACAAAACAAACATGTGGATTAGAGGCATTTTTGAGGTAATGTCATGGTTCCTGTGCCGGTATTGAAATAGTAATTTTGCCTTTCAACTGAGGTAACAGATAATACCTTTCCAGATGGAATTCTCCTTGCTTGGCCTCCTTAATTGACATAATCTACAGCTATTTGTTAAAAGATGAGCATGTGTTTAGGACTGGACAAAAAAAGCAATTATGTCGTTATGCTTACTGCATTCCATTTAAGATATGGAGATTTTATTTGGGTAGCTTATATGGGCAGAAGAAGTATAATGGAAAATATATCCGGGAGGAAGGAGAAATGCCCTGAGAATTGTTTTGCCCTGAAATAACCCTAAAGCCAACAGATTGACTCCTTGGTATTAATTAGTAAAATGAGGAGGAACATACAGGAGAAAGCAAGGTCTCTGAAAAGTCAGACATTATTTTAGAAGGGGGAATGATTCTAGGGATGCCACTAAGATTTTAGTCTCCTTTAAATTCAAGAAAGACTTAAATTGATCAGATTACCCAGCTGCTATTATGGGGAACGATTTCAGACAGGTGGTAGATGATACAAAAGTATAGGAACATATTCTTATAACTGACAATTTGTACCCTTCACCTTTATTACCCCAACTTTCCCATCCCCCATTTCCTGGCAACCACCATTCGATTCCCTTTTCCTATGAAATTAACTTTTCTTTTTTTAAAATTTTATATATTTTTTACGTAATTTTTTCATTTTTGCACAATGTATGCATTTTCATCTTGGTTATAGTCCCCAAACAATTCCCACTCCCCCCTTGTTTTGATCCTACTCCCTCCTTCCCCCCCAATAGTATATCTCTGGTTTGTAGTTGCTTGTTGATTTTGATTTTTACTTTATTATAATTAGTCTTTTTCCTGGTTCCTTATTTAGGATTTGTAAATTTCTGCTATGAGTGAGACCATCTGGTATTTTTCTTTTTCTTTCTGGCTTATTATGTGCTCAGTAAAACTTTTCTTTTTTAAGATTTCCACATATAAGTGATAACATACAGTATTTGTCTTTCTTTGACTGGTTCATTTTTCCTTGCATAATGTCCGCTAGGTTCATCTTGCTGTCATAAATGGTAGGGTTTCCTTTTATTATGTGGCAGATTATATCTATCTGTAGATATAATCTGTATACATATGTAATATTTTCTTTAGTCACCCACTAGAATGAAAATTGATGGGAAAGCTTAGAAACATAAAACCAATTTTTTAAAAAAAATCTCTAGATGGGTTTCTGGAAGTCAGAGATATTAGCCAGTAGGGATGGGTGTGGACATGGAAGTACTAACCACATTGGTTTGTGTCAAACTATTTCTCATATTTATTTTTTATTTTTTAAACTAGAGTTACCCTGATTGGCAAAACTTAGAGAAGACGATTTTGGATATTTGGATGTAAGTTGATTTCATTACTCACCAGCATGTAATATATATTTAGAACTGCCATAGAAAATAAGATGCTGATTTTCCATCCATATCAGATATGACTAATTCAACATGTCACCTTTTCCTGATAAGCTTACACTCAACTTCAGGATCTTTCTGTTTATAGTAATTTAAGCAACCACTACCAGATTATTAGAGTTGGCACCAGAGTTAAATTCACTTATGACTTCTGATGCTTGAAGGTTAAGATGTATGCTTATCATTACTGAAAAGTTATCTTCTAAGAAATCTCTATAGTACTCACAAAATTTCTGTCAAACCCACATCCTTGTCTTTGTTAGTACCACTTTTTGGCACATATTTTGGAGTACACTTGGCTGGAGATTAAATTTTTTGGAAAATTTTCCCTGATATAGCACAATGTCTCATTCTTGCACTGATTTTGAAAACTGCAAATCTTTTATTTAAACACAGAGAACTTAAAACACTCGATACATCGTGTTTGTTTTTGTTCAAAATTCTCACATCATCACCAACAGTAAATGGCATTCAAAAAGGACATTTCTGTCCACCTCACTATTCATTTTAGGGAGCCCACCTCTAGTGGGAGTTGTTCTAGCATGCTGCACTGACTCATCATGTTGGGACTTACCAAGGACAGGGTTTTAGAAAATGGATAAATAACTTTATCAGCTTCAGTTACATTGAATTCTCTCTTTCAGAATAAAATTGATAACTATAATCAAAATAACTATACTCATTCCTTGCCCATTCTTTTTTCCAGGTTTCCTCAATTCTTTTAGAAATTTTTCCTTAAATATGATGGCAACGGTGCATGGGTGAATTGATGGTGGGAATTCTATGGGAACTACACCTGAGAGGAGAAAGCAAACATTGTAGAAAAATGAACTATGATGTAAAATATATATAAATAAATAAATTATATAAAATTTTTTAAAAAGTAGGTACAGATTTATGCTCTCATGATTTAAAATAAAAATGAGATTTCAGGGCCTCCCTGGTGGCGTAGGGGATTAATTCTCAGAGCTGTCACAACTATGGCCTGAATTCGATCCCTGGCCAGGGAGCTAACCCACATGGTGCAGCAGACCTCTCCTGTCTCGCAGCTACTCCCCTTAGCAGTGTATTTCAGTGAACCTACCTGTTCTGCTCCCCATTCTGTCTCTAGTGAATCCTCTCACCTTCCCCCACACCTCTGGCCTACATCCCACATCCCAGTTCTTCTACACAAATAAATAAAATCTTTAAACAAAAGTCACTTGGTTAATTTTGTAATCTTTTGAATACATAATGTATTCTTTATTTTATGCAGATATTCATTATACATACACATCCATGAAATAGTCATTATTTGTGCATTGTATTTACACATTCATGAATACAAATATATCCATACATGAACCTGCATTCTGTGAGATATGTTAATGGTACTCTTAGTAGGTTTAGGTCTGTGACTATATCACCACTTGTCCATGTATTTTTTATTGAAGCAAAAATACATTAAACTTCTACTGAGAGTCAGGAACTTTGCTAGGAATAGAAAGATGATGCTGGGAGACTGAGGCATTTTTCCTTTGCTGGTCAGTGCAGAACCAACATCAAACTCTTTCAATAGAATAACAGGCTAGACCTCATCTCTTAACTTAGGAAACATAAATTAGTTTTGTGTCTTATATACAAAAGGAAATTTAATTTTCCTTAAAAGTAGTTTCAGATTACATTATCTAGGTCCTATTTCTTGCCTGTATTAGTATTAGGTTCATTGTCAGCTAATATCTTTTACATTCTCATAAGAACTGGCGTTACGCTACATTCCTTCTTTACTAAATTGTACAATTTATATTCCAAGTACAGTTTACTTCACTCTCATAAAATTTCATGTCACTGTTAGTCATATTTTCATACCCAAAGATCTTTTGAATTCCTGTTTTGAATTCCTGTCTTGTTGATGTAGATCTACAAAGTTTTAGTTTTCCAAAGATTATGTAAGCATACATTAGGCTTCACACAAGTCACTGATAAACACATGGTCTACGATAAGACCAAACACAATTCTTTCAGTCAGTCACAAATCTCCCTCACTCTGACAAAATCTAGTTTACATTTCTTCACCTTATCTTAAACTTATTTTGAAAGAGTTTGTCAAATGTTTTAAGACATTTTCCCTCATCTACAAATATGTTCCTCCAAATTGTAAATGAAATTACTTTACTTTGGAATATCTTCACCTTAACCCTGGGGATAGGCTATTTCTAGTTCTTAAGAAGGAGCAAAATGTGGAAAGTATCACTCGAAGAAAAATAGTAGGTACATCTTAGGTTGGTTAGGAGGTAAGTTACATGAAAAAGGAGCACAACAGTGATAGCCATAGACACAATCAAAACAATGAGGAAAGTCCCAACTAGGATATAGGGAGTAAACATAAAAATGATGAGAAACAATAACATCATCTAATCTCTCCCACACAAATTATTTCAAAATGGACTAAGGAATTAGATCTAAGACCTAAAATCATAAAATACATGAAGAAAATATAGGCAACTCAGTTAGTGACATTGACTTTGCAATGTCTTAGGGGACTTTACAATGGCAAAGGAAACAAAAGTGAAATAAATGACTAGAATGACATCAAACTAAATAGCTTCTGCATAGCAAAAGAAACTATCACCAAAGCAAAAAGATGTCATACTGAAAGGGAGAAAAGAATGGCATATCATATACCTGACAAAGGGTTAATATCCAAACTATATAAAGAACTCATACAATTCTACAACAACAACAACAAAAAACCAAATAACCCAATCAAAAAATGGACAGGAAATCTGAACAGAAACCTTTCTATAGAGGACATACAGATGGTGAAAAAGCACATGAAAAAAATGCTCATTATCACTATTATCAGGGAAATGCAAACCAAAACCATAATAATGCACACCTGTAAGAAGGGCCCCGTACCAAAAAGATCAGAAACAACATATGTTGGTGGGAATGTGGAGAAAAGGAACCCTCTTTCATTGTTGATGGGAAAGCAGACTGCTCTAGCCCTTATGGAAAACAGTATGGTATGGAGGTTCTCAAAATACTAAAAATAGACATGATCTGGTAGATATGATCCATATGACCTGATCATCCCATCGGTAGGTATCTGCCTGCAGACTGTAAACACACTAACTTAAAGAGATACATATGCTCCTATATTCATTATAGTACTATTTACAATAGTTAAATTATGGAAACAACTTAAGTGTCCAATGACATATGAGTAGATTAAGAAGAAATGACATATATACACAATGGAATACTACTCATCTATAAGAGAAGATGAAATCTTGCTATTTTTGACAACATGAATATAATTTGAAGGGCCACGTTAAGCGAAATGTCAGAAGGATAACTACCAGGTGATTTTACTCATATGTGAAATACAAGGGAAAAAATCCAAAGGAATAGACAAATCTATACCAGAACAAACCCTAGAAACCTGACTGTAGAATTGAAGCTACCAGGTGGGGATTACGGGAATGGGCAGCAAAAGGTGGGCATAATGGAGTATATGGTGGAGAACTATGGGTGCCATGGTGGTGTGATAGCATATATCTGAACAGGTGTGAACCTGTACCTCTGTATCATATACAGTGTTGTAAACTGATGTTACCTTAATTTAAAAAATACAATTAAAAAATGGGCCTCCCCTGGTGGCGTAGTGGTTGAGTGCTGGTCTGCAAAGCTGCCCGCAGCCTCTGCAGCACTAGTTCGATCCCCAGCCACCGGTGAGGGTCCCACATGGCACAACAGACCTCTCTTGCTGCACCTGCTGCTCCCCTCAGTAGTGTATTTCATCAGTCTGCCTGTTCTGTTCCCCTCTCTGGCTCTGGTGAATTCTCTCACCCTCCCGCACTTCTGACTGTACCCAGTGCTTGTATAAATAAATAAGTAAATCTTTTAAAAAAATACAATTAAAAAATAATGGAGAAAATCAATACATCATTGAAGAAAGTATTGACAGAACTCTTTGACTTTAAGGGGGATTCGAGGAAATTCTGGGCTTAAAATGAGGACTTTGAAGGACCATTGAATATTCTACTATGCAGAGGTTGTGTAAAGATATCTCTAAGAAGTTTTCATTAAATCTTTCATACCATTTTATCTTCTGCAGAAGATAAATAAAGATAAATAAAGCACTTTGTATATAACAGGAAACAATAATCAATGTTAATTCCATTTAAAATAACAAATATGAAGACATACACTATTCTTTCATCCATGATATATCACTTTATTGCTACTCTTCTTAGCTACCCCCTCATCCCCAACTTTTCAGTTTCTAAAACAAGTGTGTTTGCAATTCAAATGTATGGTCATTGAAGCTTTGATAAGAAGAGGAGATTCAAAATCATACAGGAAAAGAAACAGGCCTGAAGATCATCCTTTCAGTTAAGTGAGTAAAGGATGAAGAAGATTGAAACAAATATGTACTGGTCCATGAGGTAGGAGAAACAAAATATAATGAAGGAAAACCTAGACAATGTTTTCTGGTAGAAGAGAATGGTCAAACATATAAAACATTACTCAAATGAGATACATGGATTTGTTAGAATGATATTACTGGTAACTTTATAAATTGATCATAATATACTCAAAGTGATAAATACCAGGTTACAAGGAATAGTTGGTAGAAAAGAATTGGATTGGGGGGATGTATGGATTGACAGGAAGAACAACTGCATTGAACTGCTTATATTTTCAGAAGGGAAAGACGAGAGTAAAGGCAGAAGAGAAGAAAAGAGGCTAGTTGAGAGAGGAAGGCTGCAAATGCTAAAGAGTTTTACTGTAGTATTAATTGCAATAAAAAGGCATTTTCAGAAATAGGAAGAGTTTGGATGAAAAGGACAAGAGGAAATCTTGTCATTAAGATAGGTGGTAGTTTTTTCCTGAGATTTGGTGAGAAGGATAAATATGGAAATGGTA